TGTTTTTGAGACTGTATATAGTAAACTATACACCAATTCAACCGTTTCTGCAGTGCAATTCAGTGACATTGATTACGTTCTTCAAACTGCAACCGTACCCACCCTCCATTCCTGAGTTTTTGCTTCTTCATTAACATGAACTGACTGGTCCTAACTTTTCCTTCTACTCTTTTGAGTTGCTTTTGTGAATTTGATTACAGAAAGAGGATTCTTAAAAGAGCATAATGCTAGACATCACTTACCAATTAAGTTAAACTACATATTGTTTGATTTTAAGATTTCAGGGGATACTTTTGGTATGATGTTCAATAATTATCTCAGGGCAGAAATTTTGGAGGTTCTACCCAGCACCCCTGACTCCAGAAAGATTGAATTCCATGATCATTTGAAATTCTGTTTAGCATTTTCCTTTTTCTCAGGATTCATATAGCCCACTTTTGATCAAAATGCTTCGTAGCGTTAGCCAAGCCTTATTAGTTCTGGGCTCATGACAAAGAAGGTAGCTGTTCTTGGAAACAGTGAGCTACACATTTTATTTCCCCTTCTGACTCTCCTTTTACTTTGGCCCAGGTTAGCAGTTATTTGTTGTGGCTAGGCGGCTTGCAAAGTGTAGGAGGTAGAACAGAAGCCCTAAACATACTATTGTTAGCGTAGTTAACCAGTATATTCCATGAAACCATGATACTAAACTTGAAACCACCTAACCAAATCCTTTGAGACATTTAGTTGTAAATAAATGTCTTTGTCAGCTTTTTGTTGTCGTTGTGCTTGTGTTGTAAATGTTTATCTCACATGAGTTTTGTCATTTGAACTTTTTACAACATATGGACCATATTCACAGTAATTGATTCTGCAACTATACCTTTAAACCAGGAGTCCCCAAACTCGGCCTGCAGGCCATGCTGCCTGCTGAGGACATGTATCCGTCCCGCTGGGTGTTTCTGCCCCATTTGTTTTTTTACTTCAAAATAAGATATGTGCAGTGTGCATATGCATTTGTTCATAGGTTTGTTTTTTTTTTAACTATAGTCCGGCCCTCTAATGGGTCTGAGGGACAGTGAATTGGCCCCCTGTTTAAAATGTTGGAGGACCCCTGCTTTAAACAATACAATTTTTCATCTTTGTAAACCAAAGCTGAGTACTCTACAAGCAATGGCCCTCCTTCTTTCCCCAACTGGTAACCTTTGGTCTTTATGTTTTGGCTTTTTTATGTAAGTGAGATCATATAATATATGGCCTTTAAAAAAAAATCATTTTATTGGGGGCTCATACAACTCTTATCACAATCCATACATACATACATCAGTTGTATAAAGCACATTTGTACATTCGTTAACCTCATCATTCTCAAAACATTTGCTCTCCACCTAAGCCCCTGGCATCAGCTCCTCATTTTTCCCCTCCTTCCCCGCTCCACCCTTCCCTCATGAGCCCTTGATAATTTATAAATTATTATTTTGTCATATGAACACTGTCCGATGTCTCCCTTCACTCATTTTCTGTTGTCTGTCCCCCAGGGAGGAGGTTTTATGTAGATTCCTGTAATCAGTTACCCCTCTCTACCCTACCCTCTGTCCACCCTCCTGGTATCAAATATGTGGCCTTTTATGATTGACTTATTTCATTCAGCACAATGTCTTCAAGATCCATCCATATCATAGCATGTCCATATCACAAGACCCACTGGCTGAGTAGCATCTCATTTTATATATGTAACACATACTTTGTCCCCATTCATCTGTTGGTAGGCACTTAGGTTGTTTTCACCTCTTGGATATTGTCAGTAGCGCTGCAATGAACATTGCTGTACAGTCTCTGGGCCTCTGCTCTCAAGTCGTATGGGACTATAACTTGGAGTGGAATTGCTAGCTCTTAACCACTCTTTGTGATAGCACCTGTATCTTCAGTAATCTGGTTGGTAACGTCTTTTGATGAACAAAAGTTTTTAGTTTTTATGAGGTTCTGTTTATTTATCTCTGCTGTTTACACCTTTGTTATTATATTGGATATTCCACTGTGAAAAGCTAGTCCTGACAATGTTGTTTCTGCTTGTTCTTCAAAAAATTTAGTTGTAGTTTTCATATTTAGTTCCCTAATCTACATTGAATTTGTTTTGATGTGAAGTTGGCACCTTGGGTCAACTTTTCTGCATGTGGATATTCAATTTCCTAACACCATTTTCTTTCCCCATCAGATGGACTTATTGAAAAACACCTTAAGAGACCTTACTGAAAAATCATTTGACTTTGTAGATCTGTGTGTTTACTTATGGACCGTCAGTTGTATTCCATTGTTCTTTGTATCTATCGTTATAACATTACGAGGCTGTTTTGATGACTAGAGTCAGATATTTGAGAATCAGGAAGTGTGAATCCTCTTTGTTCTACTCTCTCCTTTTCCTTTTTGCTGTAGCCTTTTGGAGCCTCTTGCCATTTCAAATCAAAATGACAGTTGGCTTTTCCATTCTGTAAGGAAGGGTGTAGATACTTGCTTTTGTATTGTATTGAATTATTGTTAGGTACTGTTGAGTTAATTCTCACTCATAGCTATCCTATGCACAATAGGATGAAACATGGTTTAGTCTTGCACTTCCTCATAAAGATTGTTATGTTTGAGCCCACTGTTGCAGCCACTGTAGATATTACTGATATGGTAATAATATTGCCTTCCAATTCATGGACATGGAACATCTTTTCACTTATTTTGGTCGTCTATAATCTCCTTCAGCAGTGTTTTGTAATTTTTACAAATGTGTTCTTATTGCACGAGTCTAAAGTTGAATTCTATTTGTGAGTACTGTTTTGAGAACAGATAACTTCATTTTTCAGTTCTTATTTAATTGTTTAAAAAATGTTTGACTCTCAATTCTAAACTTAAGGCGTTTTAAAGTAATTATAAAGTATGAATATAAATGTATTCATTATAAAGTAATTTCTCTGTATAAGAGAAGAAGGCCAGCATTGATATTTTAATATAATTATTTCTAGGTGCTGAAGTACAGTCTTCACTTTTGACAGCAGTGACGTTTTTCTTGGAGAGACTTGCCATGCACAGTCTACCGGAAGCAGAACGGTGCTTTGGCACTGGCACCCTGGGTGACATTCCCAGCCCGCAGGAGGAAGAAGCATATAACTATAGTAAATGCACAGTGGTGGTCCGAATTATGGAATTTATCACCATGCTGCTGAACACCTCTCCAGAAGGTTGCAAGGTAGGGTCACTTTGCTGCCCTCTTAATTTAAAAGTAGTACCTGGCATTTGAAAAATATTCATCAAGTTTCCATTAGAAGTGGCCATGTTTTGGTTTTTTTCAGTACTTTCCATTACTGTAGAGGCTATTTATTTTTGGAAACTAGAATGTAGTTTGTTCTTCACATTTTCATTGTGTTCATAAATATGACCGTCGCGCATCTGTCTGTGCCAGTTTGTAAAACACAGGAGTGGATATATAGGGAAAATAACTGGTGCAAGGGTTTGTAGGGAGTGTAATGGGGGTGAGTGATAGAGTGGGTGAGGGCGATTTCAGGAGTAAACAATGAAGGTGGGAGGGGGAGTGAGCACTAGAACTGAAAGTGATTATACAACTCACTCTAAAGGGGATTTTAATCATGGGGGGAAATGTTCTGAAATTTATTGTGATAATTGTACAATTCTTCTTGATAGGATTGAATTGTATGATATGTGTATTAAGTGCCAAGAAATAAAAAATTATACATGAAAGACAGCAAAAGATGATTTAGACCTAGAATTAGGAAACCAAAAAGCAAGAACATGCTCAGATTATCTGAAACTGAAAAAACTCAAGAAAATATTCAAGCCGCAAGTTAACAATGTTCAAACATTCTTCAGACAAGATATTGAATGAAGAAGGAGGCACACAGAGTCACTATACAAAAAAGAACCATTTCAGGTGGGAACATATCTTCACGAAACAATCTTTTGAAGGAAGAAGTCCAAGTTGCACTGAAGGTATTAGCCAA